AATTTCTGTTTAGCCAAGGGACCAGACTGTTACATGAACAATCTAATTGGCATATTGCTACGCTGGAGAGAGGAGCAAGTAGCTCTCGTGGGAGACATTTGTAAAATGTTCCACACTATCCACTTGAAGCCCTTGGAGCAACATTGTCATAGATTCCTGTGGTGTGATCTGTAAACTGACCGAGATCCAGATGTTATGTCATGACACGAGTCAATATGGGCGACACTCCAGCTCCTGCTATTAGCATTGAAGCTGTTTACAAGACCGCAGACATGTTTGAAACAGATAGTCCAAAGGCTGCTAACCTCCTAAAGAGATCCAGCTATGTAGATGATTTAATTGACTATCAACCGAGTAAACCTGAAACATTGAAAATTGCTCTTGAAACGGAGGACATGCTTGCAAAGGGAGGCTTTACGGTCAAGTGTTGGCAGTTTACTGGAGAGTCAAGTCCTCGCACTGGCAAAATGTTGACTGTCAACAATGACATGGCTGTTGCACCTGATGGTCCTGTAAGTATGCACACAAACATGCTGAAAGAAACTGATAGCAACCTGAGGGTATTGGGTCTTAGCTGGAATCCAGTGGAAGATACTGTGGTGTTTGAAGTAACTCTCAATTTTAGCAAGAAGAAGGCAATGTACACAGGCCCATACGCCAAGAAAGCTGATTTGCTGCAAGGCCTACCACTTGTGTTGACAAGAAGAATTGTTCTGTTGCAGGTTATGATGATATTTGATCCTCTTGGATTTGTGTGCCCCTACACTCTGCTGGAAAAGATTTACCTATGGGAAACATGGTCTCTTAAGCTTGGATGGGATGATCAGCTGCCAACTAATCTCTATTCCAAGAGGGTTCACTTCTTCTGTTCCTGTTCCAGCTTGAGCAGCTCAGTTTGGATCGTTGTTTATGACCATTTAACTCTGATGGTCGACCGTGGCTTATCATCTTCAGTGATGGTAGTGACCTCACCCATGGTTTTGCAGCCTACATCAGATGGCGTCTAAACAGTGGTGACTATTTGTGTCGACTTATCATCAAAAAGTGTTGTGTCGCCCCACTGAATAAGTTGTCTACTCCTCAGATGGAACTAAACACTGCTGTGTTGTCCAAGCGAGGTAGAGAGGTCATCGAGAAGGGGATGAGGTTCAAATTTGGAGAGGTGTTGCAAATTGTACTCTGAAACTGTTTTGAGCATGATCAACAAGACCAGTACTTGCTTCAAAGTGTACGAGGGAGTTAGAATTGGAGAGATTCAAGCTGCGATGAATGGTGATATGTCTTGTTGGGCCTGGATGTCAGGTCATCACAACCCCACAGATTGGTTGACCCGTGGACGTACCCCTGAGGAGCTCAATCAATATTCCCATTGGTGGAATGCTCCACCTATGCTGTACCAACTCATTGAAGAGTGGGGACTCAAGTTTGGTCTACAGGAGGAGGAATCACTCCCTGGAGAAAAGATGTGCAACACAACAGCAGCCACAGCAGATCCTTCATTGATCAACTTAGAGAGATTTAGTGATATCAATGGAGTCATTTAGATCGTAGCAAGATTTAAAAACATTGCAAGGAACAAGACTTTTAGTGCACAAAATGCCATACAACTAACCACACAGGACTTGAAAGAAGCAGAGGACTTTGTCGTGAAGAACGTTCAGAAAACGACTGAATGCAAGCTAAAGAAGAGCAGCACTAAGAAGGGTAATGGAGGTCACTATGCTAAGCTGAGGCCTATACAAGATGCGAGTGGAATATGGGTTGTTGGAGAACGACTTACCAGGTACAATGTGATGCCAGAGATTGTTACCTTCTAAGCATCAAGCTACACATCTTTTCATGCAGCGTGCTTATCAAGCAGGAGGACATAGGAAACATGACACAACCCTAGCTTGATTTGGAATGCACTACTGGACACCTCAAGGGAGCACACTGGCAAGATTAGTGAAAGCAAAGTGTCAACTGTGTAAAATACATGCTATGAAATTTCTTGAGCAACCAGTGGGGTTATTGCCAGAGGCTAGACTGAGACCTGCACCTGCATTCCACCATGTGATGCTTGACCTGTTTGGACCATACACAGTTAGAGGAGAAGTCCAGAAATACACAAGTGCCAAAGCATATGGTGTAATGTTCACCAATCTTGCAATGAGAGCTGTTTATATTGAGGTGGTGTTTGGATACGACACTAGCAACTTTCTGATGGCACTTAGCAGATTTGCAAGTCTTCCTGGATGGCCAGAGATGGTTTACAGTAATCCAGGTTCTCAACTTGTGGGTGCAGAGAGGGAGCTTGAAGAGGCCTGGCAAAGAATCGACAGAGTCGTTACAAAGAGGTTCTGTTCAGAATGGTTCCACCTGGGTATTTGGATCTGCCGGCAGTCCTTGGCATCAAGGAGCAGTGGAGTCTCTGATAAAGGCCACCAAGTGTGCTATTCATTTCTCAGTGAGTAACCAATGTCTGTCTGTACCTGAATTTCTCACTGTCTGTTGTGAAGTGTCCAATTTACTGAATGAGAATCCCATTGGAGCTAAACCAAGTGTGGATTCGACCATCGATGTTCTCACACCCAATAGTTTGTTGCTTGGATGGGCCACTGCATCCAGCCCCTCAGGATGGCAACCGTATGAAACAAGCATTGCCACGCACTATCATCTCATTCAGTCTGTGGTGGAAAACTTCTGGAAACGGTGGATCGAGCTCTATGCTCCAGCACTGGAGGTACAGTGCAAGTGGCATACTGCTAGTTGTAACTTGCGCCCAGGAGATGTAGTGATTGTTGCTGACAATAACACTCTAAGAGGAGATTAGTGTCTCGCACTTGTGAAAGATGTGTTTCCACGAGAAGATGGCAAAGTGTGCAAGGTGACGGTCCAGTACAAGAGCTATTGCACTGTGGAGAGAGTACATGAATACTGGGGTGCAAGGGACACTGTGGTTTCAAGGGCAGTTCAGCGCCTTGCTTTACTTATTCCAGTGGATTAGAGTCTTGTTGAAGCCAAAGTCAAGAAATGCAACTGACATTAAGGATATTGATCATAAATGTTATCTGGTGACATTTTGAGATGTGTTCCGTTTTACAAATTGTATCGCAGCGACCCCCACCCTTCCAGCGTGTCAGGAACTTTTATGTTAATCTTGTTGTTTTCCAGACAATAATTTATTCACTGCAATTCAAGATTACAGAATCTTTAGTTTTGTTTTCAGCCAGTGGTTTTCGCCCTTTACACCCATCATCCCTTGCGTGGATTGGGGAACATGTGCTCTTTTAAAATGGCACCGTTGTGTTTCAGCACTTTTTATTTCTGTCCGGGATTTTTGTTCAAGTTAATCTTAGTTTTCATGGGATGGTGTCGATGCTCAGAATGGCAAAAAACGAGCAACATTTTATCTAGCTGTATTCTAGCTACATTCTAACTACAAATAAACTGGAGTTGAAACATCCGTTGTGCACTCCTTGGATCGACGCCGTTGCAATTCCTCGTGTGTTCTTTTTTCCTAGTTTCAAAACATCTGCTAGTTTCGCCTACGTAACTCCAAGGGCAGTTGGCACAAGATATTTTGTAGACCACATTTGGTTGAAGTTCAATCGAAGGTCGGGATTTAGGAGAGGGAAACACCAGTTGTAATGTCTTGACTGGCTGGCTGCAACTTGAATATCATGTTTTTGAAGAAGTCCAGTAAGAGGCTGGGAAATTCTGTTAATGTAAGGGAGGACTGCTAAACTAGAGGAATTAGAGGGTATAACACATTTGAAGAACATACAAACAAGTTCCTCAGGTGCTGGGATAGAGTTATAAAGTTTGTGCACTGAGTAGAAGATGTCTTTAGAATATTTGAGATGAGATTTTGAGGATAATTGTTAGCTCGTAGAGCATCAGTGACATGATGGAGTTTAGCCTCTTTTCCTTGTTTCGTGTTTCGGAGTTTAGTTGCACAATGCAAAAAAGTGTCAGCTGTACTGATCTTGAATCATTTTTCATGGTGGGAGAAGGAAGCCAAATATCAATCAGTATGGGTGGGTTTTCGATATACATCCATAATGAGAGTGAGTAACCATAGGGTCCAAAAAGCGATCTGGTTATTATCTTCTTCATAGTGAAGGGGATGTGTTGATCGATAGCATTGAGTGTAGTATGGAAACAGTTAACTGTGTTTCTTTTGATGATGCAAAAACTATCATCAACATACCGTTTCCATACTTCAGGTGGAACAGGAGTTGTGTTGATGGCCATCTCTTGGACTGCTTCCAACATAAATTGGCAACCACAGGACTAACAGGACTGCCCATGGCACAACCATGCTTATAAACACCATTTATAAACAGTCGTTGTAGACAAAATGGTTGTTACACAAGACAAAATTTAATAGAGATAATATCCCTGGTGTTAAGATTTGTGCGTAACTGTAGTGATTCATCCCAGTCCAAGTTAATTTGGATGTAATAACAGGCTTTTTGGACGGGAAAAGCAGTGAAAAGCGCTACCACATTGAAGGACAGCATAATTTGGTTGTCTTTTATGTCAAAGTTTGAGATTTCATAGGCAAATTTAGAGGAATTAGAAACTGAGAAACAATTGTAATTTTGAAGGTGTCAAGATACTGGTTAGAAACTTCAAGGTGTTGCAGAGCACTGAACCAATAGATGAAACAATGGGTCTAAATCGGTTGCCTCCTTTGTCTATAATGAGAGTTGACAAGGGTTCTTTCTGTATTCACAAGATGCTAGAATCATGGCACGCCACTTTGATAAAGCATGCAGATAACAATTCAAGGTCGCTCCCCAATCAATACTCTATTCTTTTAAAAAAGAACAATTAGTTTATTGACACTTATGGCTGTAGTCTGACCGCCGAAAACTCAAAAGGTTTCACTCTAAATAGTCAGTCAACGTTTTTATAAATTTTTAGAATACTTTCTCCAGGTTATGATGGTTCTTCTATTATACCATAAATGACTGAGAAGTTGTTTCAAAAGACTGAAAGATAAATCATATTACCAGAGATGAATTATGCCCAAGAAGATGTTTTACAAGGGAGTCCACCATCGCCTCCATCCTAGATTTAACTTTTGAAGACCCATCCAGAGTAAATGGTATTTCTAAATGTACAGGAAAGAGAATAAAATGTGGAACTCAGCTGGTATTATATATATGTGCATATATGAAAACATGCAAACAGCTGCACAAATATATCACTGCATAGACTAGATAGTTTTGAAAGAAATATTGCAAGTTGCAGTTCTACTGACTTGTATAGCCTACAACTTCTTCACCAAAAAAAATCATTTGGAAGATAGATTGCACTTTTTGTGTTGACTACAGTTTTGTCACATACTGGGCAATAACATCTGTAGGTGACTCAGCTTTCATTTGCAAACAAACATCCAAACAATTTTGCAGTGAAAGCCTCATTTCTTTTTCTCATTTAATAGCGCAACAGCAAATTTGCTGTTTCTTCAGTACCTCAATACCTAACAGTATATAAAAATCATTATTACTCTACATTGGATGTTGCTTCACTCCAAAAACTGTAACTGGAAGTAGGCTCTTCCCAATACTGCTAGCACATTTTTGGCATAATTTGGCTTAGGCTTCTGTTTGCTACCTTTCCTCCAATAAGCATTGCCAGCATAATTGAGCGGTTTTGGCTACTTTTTAAGACTTTTTTTGCCCAACTCCAATCGAAGAAGGACCAGGAAAAGAGAAAAGAAAGTAGACTGGTGGCATTGTCTTAAGGAGAAGTTCACTCATTGGGTTTCAGCAGTGAAGCAAATTCTCTTGGTAGAGCCACCTTTCTGCTGCAGCAGAGTGTTTTCATCACTTTCAGGGTTGTTCAGTGACCAATAGGAAAATGCTCTTATTGACTTCTTTGAAGAAAGTGCAATGTTTCAGTACACTGGGCAACATAGAATGTTGTACATAAAACAGATTTTGCAAGCCATATAAATGCCTTACCTATGCTATGTTGCTATCTTGTGTTCATTGCTGAGCTTGAATAACCCAACAATGACCTATTTGCTGGATCAGAAGCCTGGACTACATTGTTGCTAGAACTAGCCATCAAGGTACATGACTTTCATACAACTTTGACGCCTACAGTTCAAACTACCCAGCCCTTTGTACATATTATTCTTATATACACCGGATGCCTTCAAATATTGTATAGTAGATTGAGTGAAGTGGAGTAATCATCCGCTTCACATGTGCGTGTTTTTTGAGTAGCAATGATTTCTTTTCTTTCTTTTTCGTTGCATTTCCTTTTTTTATTAATGCATATTTGCCTTTCCATTTATTGTGTTCAGGAATCGTCTGGAGCTTTAAATCATTTTTATATTGAGAAGTATTCAGATTTGGTTAAAATGGGAATTAATTAAAATGGAAATAAGACATCTCACCATTTCATACTCAAAACACAAAGAAAAACAACGGAGAATTTGAGAAACGGAGCTTCAAAAGCGTTTGGAAGCTTTAGAAATGAAAATTAACAACTGTAATACGGACGAACAGTTAAGCGCTGAAATTGAAGATTATGACAACTTAAAAATCGAACTTCAACGTATCTGCGAAGCCAAAGGGAAAGGTGCAATCTTTCGATCTAAAGTCAAGTGGGTTGAACAAGGTGAAAAACCCAGAAAGCACTTCTTTAATTTAGAGAAAAGGAATTTCAACCTTAAAGTAATTATGGAAATGAAAAGAGAAGACAGCAAAATACTTGTTGAAGAAGACGAGATAATGAGAGAAATCGAATCCTTCTATGAGAATTTATATGCTTTGCATGACGAGGATAACAGTGAGGCCTTTAATGATTTTGTGCGTGATCTGCAAACTGATAAATTAACAGACGAAGAAAGAGAGGACCTAGAGGGTTACATAACGATAGAGGAATGTTCCAAAGTCTTAAAAACCTCCCCCGCTGGTAAGTCGCCTGGAGATGATGGTTTCACGGCGGAATTCTACAATTTCTTCTTTGATTTAGTGAGCCGCGACTTAGTAAATAGTTTTAACACTGCATACAAAGGAAAGCTGTCGATATCTCAACGCAGAGGTGTAATAACTCTTTGTGCCAAAGGATGATTCTTGTTTGTCAGAACTTTCAAATTGGGGCCCAATTACACTTTTAAATTTAGATTATAAGATCGCGTCAAAAGTAATAGCAAAGAGAATAGAAAATGTTTAAGATACGGCAAGAAAAAACAAATAGAAGAAATCAAATCTTCAACTCCAAAGCCAAGATAAGTCAATTTGCCGATGATACATCATTAATTTGTAGTAGCCTCGACTCTGTTGAGAAAACAACTCAAGTGTTAAATTCCTTTGGGAATGTCTCCAGTTTATGATTAAACCCCACTAAAACCAAAGCTTTGTGGCTTGGCCCTTGGCATAATAGGGAAGAAAAACCAGTCCGAGTATTAGGTATCTTCATATCGTATGATGAAAAGCAAAATAATAAAAAGAATTGTCAGGTTAAAATCGAAAAATTAGGCTCTAAACTAGAGGTTTGGCGATCTCGGAATCTATCAATACTAGGCAGATGCCTAATCACAAAATGCCTCGGTATCCCGCAGTTAGTCTATTCTATGTCAATTCTAGATGTTCCTACAAATTGTATCCCAACCATTAATACATCTATTTTTCAGTTCATTTGGAAAAAGAAAAGACAAGATTAAGCATCAAGTGATGTATCAAAATTACGAAAAAGGAGGATTGCGTGTTCCAAACACAGATGTAATGACAAAATCCTTAAGGCTAGCTTGGATATCGTGACTTCTAGCCAAAGATGACAAAAGAAACGAGGTTTGGAAAACAATCCCAAACCATTTCTTTGACATGTACGATGGTCTTAATTTTTTGTTAAGATGCAATTATGATTCGAAGTTTCTTGAGCGGACTGGTATGCCTCAATTCTTTAATTCAATGCTGCAATTCTTTCTTGAACTAAAATCCTCCTATGAATCTGACATTGGGCAAGACTTGGTCTCATTTAACAATATAGAAATTCTTATTGATCAAAAGACTTTCTTTTACAAATTGTGGTTTCAAAAAGGAATTTTCCGGATACACGACCTCCTCACAAGGAATGGCACCTTTCTTTCGCATGGTGATTTTACCCACAAGTATGACTTAAAATGTAATTTCCTACAGTATTTACAAGTAGTTTCAGCAATACCCCGGCAACTTGTTGAAAAAGCAAAGCAAAACCTGGGTGCCAAATTCACTTTTTCACCAGAAAACAGTTTTTTCCCAGCTATCACCTTCAATAAAGTGAACCTTCTGAAAATGAAGAGTAAAGATTATTACTTGTTTTTTTCAAAACAAATTAGATGCAGAACTTAAGGCACCTGGAAAATAGATTCGTGATTGGCAGACTACTGATATAGAATTTAATGTCTACTTTAAAAACCTAAAAGGTTTCTACTTTAAATTTCTACACAGAATCACTGTTATGAAAAAGGAATTATGTCTGTATGGTATAGAATGCAACAGTGCATGCATGTACTGTCAGGAGTCTGACTCGATAAGCCACTCATTCATCCATTGTCGATGGTCAAAAAATTTTTCTCTGAAGTAATTAAGAGGTTTAATAAGGAAAATGACACCTCCTACTCACTTAACACAATTGAATTACTCTTCAGGAAATAATCAAATGAACCTGAACCCGGTTCATCCCAGAAGATGGTAAAAAAGCTTAACTATGTCCTTCTGTTTGCTAAATACTATATTTATAACAATAAGCTTAGTTCAAAACAAGGAAGCTTGAACGAATTTACTATGAAACTGGAATTCAAGTATCATCTAGAAGGATTTTAAGTCAACATACAAGTGTAATTATGCCTCAAAATGTACAGAAAAGGGAATTGTAAGTTAAAGAAAAAAAACGTTTTATGATCTGCACAGTATTCGCTGTAAAAAAGTAATAGCTTATTTTCACTGACTAGACGTCATATGTATGTAAAGCAGTATAACATAGTTTAATGTAGTCTATTTGAAATGTAGTGTAAGTTGTGTAAAGTAGTGTAATTTGGTTAAGTAAATTATATTGTAATATAGTGCTATGTGNGTCAACATACAAGTGTAATTATGCCTCGAAATGTACAGAAAAGGGAATTGTAAGTTAAAGAAAAAAAAACGTTTTCTGATCTGCACAGTATTCGCTGTAAAAAAAGCAATGATAGCTTATTTTCCCCGACGAGACATCGTATGTATGTAAAGCAGTATAACATAGTTTAATGTAGTCTATTTGAAATGTAGTGTAAGTTGTGTAAAGTAGTGTAATTTGGTTAAGTAAATTATATTGTAATATAGTGCTATGTGGTTGAAATAAAGTGTAAAAAAAAATTAAAAAATAAGTTCTTATAGGTACGGCTTCTTGCAGTTAAATTGTCAATTTCTTGGGGCTTCTTGCGGTTAGACTTTCAACTTCTTGCGTTTCAAAAGCTCTTGTGGGTAAACAGCAAAAACACGACATTTTTACTTCTTCCGGCGGTTTGCATGTTCTTGCAGCCCAAGGACTTCTTACGCCACTTCTTGCACTTGCCTTATTTTAGGGCTGTACTGTAACTTTTAACAACAACAACAAGCTTTATTACCAAATAGACAAAAAGTTAAACTTTACAATATAATATATTAATAAAGCTAATCGAGCTGAGTAAAACTAAGTAATGGTTAAGTAAGGGAGGTAGGACTTGGCGCTAAAGCTTGATGAAAGCAATTAATTAGTCAATAAAAAAGAGACGAAAAGAAGAAATAAATAAATAAATAGATAAATAAAAATAAATAAATAAATAAAATGAATTAACAAATACCAGTTGAAAACTCATGAACAGTAAGACTGTAAGATGTTTAGCTTGACTTTGTTTTTAAACGTTTTAAGGAGGAGGAGTTATAATCCTTCAGGAAGTAGTAGACGTCTGCACCTAGGCTATGGGACTGGTGACAGTGACGGTGACAGGAGGGAGCAACAGTGACACTTGAAGAAACCTAGTGAAAAATGATTTTAGATTATACATTCAAATTTTGCTATTGTGTAGACCTTTTCAGTCCATCCATTGGCCTAAAACCTTACTCAAGCTTGAAATGTAATGATAGTGACAGTGAAAGTGTTCGCCATGTCCCTGATATCATTTTTCCTATACGCTGAAATGTTTAAGCCAAGGGCCATTTCAGTTTTCATGTAATACATCAAACACAAAGACCATGTTTGACCACATTTCCAAACACTGAAAAGAGAGTTGAAAATTTGACACGCAGCGGAGTATTTTGGACGAACTTGTAAGACCTTGTCATTGGTTTGAATACATGTACGTGAAATGGAACACACCAACAATTTTGAACTTAAAAAATATTACTTCAAAGAAGAAATAGTCTCTCGCTGGTTTTGTGAAATATATGGTGATGGTGAAGTTTGTGATGATAGCATTAGTGAGAGTGATGGTGACAATGCTGATGACGGTGCTGGTGCCTAGATGCTTGTGTTGATGGTGACAGTGCTGCTGAGATTGCAGTGCTGGAGACGGTGGTGGTGATGGTGCTGGTAACTGCTGGTAACAGTGACTATGGCAGTTAGGGTGAGGCTAATGTGAGAGTGATCGTATTGGTAATGGTACTGATGAGGGATTGGATGATCATGGTGGTGCTGGTGCTGGAGAGGGTGCTGATGAAAGCCTTGATGAAAATAATCTAATTTTTTTTCCATCATGTCCATTCCAGAACGGTCCATTTTGTTCGATTTGTGAACATGTTGATTAACGACACAACATTTCTTCTGGATGAGTCTCTGGATTCACTAAAGAGTATCAATGAGACACAGCAGCTGATGGCTAATATTGCAGAGTGGGAGTCCTTACCAAGAGTAAGTCACTTGTAGAACTTACACTGTCACTGATAATTATCTTCATTACCAGTGCCACCTACCTTGGACTTAGCTTACTGCTAGCGTTATGGTATTTGGTAATGTGTTGTTGTTTTAGCTTTGAGTGATTTTTGGACTTTTTTCTTCTCATCACAATGTTAGTAAGGTCTCCTATGACCTTTCTTTACCACCTACAGTAGGAAACTGACCTAGTGTGTTTTATTTTAGTTCATTTATTAGGCTATTCCTCTATGTCAGATTCTTATCTAAACAGGTGAAAAACTATACAGGACAGATATATATATACATGTATATGTTATTTGCCAGCTGGAAGGTCTGTATAGTGAAAAACTGTGACTGAGGTCTTGAAAAAGCATTTTCAAGCCTGAGGTCACAGTTTGCACTATACGGACCAACCCTAAGCCAGCAAATGTTTATTTTTTTCCCGCAGTAAATTGGTTTTACAGGTTGCAAATGGGTTTGTTTACGCAAATTTATCATTGAATCGGCTTCGACGCAGTCTACTAACAATTTGTAAAAAACTCTTTGCAACGAGCGAGTATCTCAGATAGTAGACAAAGACAGATTTTTTTGTAACTACTTATGTTAGTTGCATTTATTTCACCAGTTAAGTTCTCCAAAATTGTTTCTGCGGTGTGAAATTTCGTGCGAAGGTTGAAGTTTTACTACAAAAACAATTTCTGTCAGTCGTTGCTTTGAAATCAGACTTTTCTACCATAAATTGAATAGCAGAAACCGAGGAAATTTGTTAAGTGTATTCCACAGAAATTCTCCTAAATACAGCAACGATCAGAGAGGTAAACTCAAATGAAATTGACTCAAATTTTACAGCGAGATAAAGACAGGATTACACGCCATTACAGCACCAAGCTACAAACAACCAAGCAAACTCTCACAACTTCAAAACACTCAATTGAATTTACTTACACTGACTTTCCTTGCCATTTTAAAGGGAACAGAGATAAACTTGCATTGACTAATCATTGATGGATGTGTAAAAAAGGCAAGATTGACGATTACCGCTAACTCTTAGGTGCAAATTTTAGTCAGAGGGGAAAAAATCCGGCCCATTGGCCATATCGTAAAAAGCTGGACCAGTCACGTGCATATGATTAGCCAATCAAATTCGAGGATTTAGGATTCTGGCCCGCCCAGATACTGGAGAAAAAAATAAAGTTATTTATTTCCGTCTTACAGGACATGCGTACTTCACGTCTGAGACAACTAGCCACAGATGAACGACAGTGCCGTTCATACCTGACTCTGGCTTCAGAGACGCTGGACATGATGCTGTACCTGACTAAACATGTACAGGGACCTTTCCTTAGGCCTGTAAGTTGAACGAACTGTCCAAGGTTGTAACTCATCTGCCTATTACAAAATCTTTGTGTGATGATTTTAGCAAAATGGCCGTAGCGATAAATTGAGAGTTCAGAATTGGGGATAGGGAATGACGTCATTGAAATGATGACATCATTTTCTAAAAATGGAATAGTGACATCATTGGGGTGGGGTGTTAGGGCGTTGAGTCTTATATTGGAAGAAACACATTTTAGCAGGGTATTTTCATAACAGAATAAAAATTTAATATACTCTTTCATTACTTAATTTTTCTGCCTGGGAAATACTAATGATGTAGGTGAAATGGAAGTTGTAAGAGTGTTAACCGTAAATTCAAGTTTACACTTTGAGTAGACACTAAGCAGAATAGATAACGCCATTAATAATATTACCCAGAAAATTTGACTGATCCTTCTTAAGTCTTGAAAACAAATAGTGTGATTAGGATCTTCTTTAGCACCTTGGGCCAAAGTCTATATGGATCATGGTTTCGTCTTGTATTCCTCTGCCATTATAAGAATCTATGATTGCAAACAAATCGATTTCTATTTGGTGAATTCACTAAATAGACAGAACGAAACTCTGTTTGTTCAAACCCAATAGAGTTTTTCCTTGCTTCTTTGTTATTGCTATTCTTAACTATTTACAACTCTTGGAACTCTGACTTGTGAACTTATTATTACAAAGTGCTACCGGTAACTTTGCTCTATCAATCCGGTCATGATCCAGTACACTAAACCACACTGTGTACTCAGAGCCTTATCGATAATTCTGTTTACAGTGGCTGCGAAATCATTGGTCATTTATTTGAATGTAACTTTGAGGTAGCATAGATAGTCTTACATCCTATAGTAACCTTCTTATCCATCTTCTGAGTGTTCTCTGACTGTTTTTGGCACCCGCTGTTCTCTAAATAGTCCATTAAGTAAGAACTTTCATTTATCCACCGTTAGTTCAATAGCCTCTTTCCAGTTGAAACCCTATGTGTCAATAAATTGTTGTTTTGTGTTCATTATTCGTCTGGGGTTGCGTTCTTTTTTTAAATCATGCATCCATGTTAAATGTTAGGACAAAACTTTCCTTAACTCCTTTCTCTATACAGGAAGCGTGCCATATTCAGCTTTTATGAGTGCTATTTCTTGTGAGTCTCTGCCACATTTGTAGTCTTGCACTAACTCCTCCAATTGTGTGCTATGTCGATTTGTCGCTTTGTTTAGAATATGTGACCTAGCGTGTTTGGTAGCATTAATATCCTTCTCTTCCCCCTCTCCTACGGTTAGAGATTTCTCTTCATCTTCAATACTTTCTTGGGATCTTTGCATCTCTGATTCTTCGTCAGATTTCACTTCCTGACCTTGTAAGGTTTGACGATAATATCCCGAACTTGAATTCATGATGGTTCACCCTTTAGATCCTTCAACTGATGATTAAATTACTTTAGTAATGACCTCATGCCTCTTATACCCAAGAAGTGAAGCAGTTGTACAACACTATTCTGTTTTTAGATTATGATGTCATTGTCTTGATGATGTCATTCCATGGGGACCCACCCCCTGCACCCTGTTATGGTATCACTCAACTGACAGAAAAGATACACTCAACTTATACTTTAAACGATACCTAGTGAAATCCTAGTTACAAAGGAACGACTTCTAAACAATGCAGTCTATCATCAAACTAACTTGAGCCTACTGCTGAAGCTTCAGTCACCACTGACACAAATCCATAGTAAACGTCGCTGTCTCCAAAGAAATCTCCTCTCAAACCACTTGACTTTAAATGAAGTTCCTCAATAGCTCTCAACAGTTCTTTTGATATAGCTTCTTCAGTCGGTCTCTGCCAACAATAACCACTACCATGCTTGTCCTTAAAGTCCGTAAAGTTATACTCTAGAATGTTCTTGAAGCTTCTAACACAACTATTTATGTAGCATCACATCGTAATTACATCATTAAGTAGAATGTTCTTAATTGTTTCATAGCGTGACAGTAGAACGTAAGTGACTAAACATTCTAGAAATTACCAGAAACTTAGTATTTACAATTGCTCTCCATAACAACCCAATTCTCAACTCTCAGTTTATCACTACTAATACCTCAGTGCAGATCCTTGCATCCCTCTCTGTGTTTATCACTATCAATAAGACAACAGACACATTCTCGTCAAAAAAGCCATCATCCTGTTGAGTCTGAATTATATGATTAGGAAACGAAAGTATGTATTTTTGATTTAAAACTTTAATTTCTTTGTAGGAGTTAATTGATCGTCTAGCTGCCATGTTAAATTTTAACCTGCAGCAACTATGTGGGCCAAAGTGCAGAAATTTGAAGGTATGACATGATAGATTAATTCTTAATAGCGGAGCTCCGGCGGCCCAAAGGGCCGCCAAGC